ATTATATTAATTAATATTATTAAATATTAGGGATTGATGATGTGGCAGATGACTAGATGCCATGTCAGCATTAAATAATATATTTTTTCGTTCAGGGTTTTATTTGCCAATTTTTAAAAGTATAGAGTTTTAATTGCCAATTTTTAAAAGTACAATGTTTTTTTGGATAAAAAAAAAGTATAGGGTTTAAATTGCGACGAGAGAAAAGTACAGGATTTTTAAAAGTACAATGTTTTCTCAGTTATTGTTTTTTATTTTCAGACGAATATCGATGTTATTAGAATTAAAATAAGGAGATAGAGATCGACAACAATTCACAAAATTAATTATAACATCAAACTAATTTAGAAATAACAGTTAAATGATTTCGAAAGATCAAAATTCGTTGTATTATTGAATTTAGACCATTTTTCATATAAAAAAAGGAGGGTTTCACGAGTCAGGTGTGAAAAGATAAATATTTAAAATATCAACATAAAACTTTTTATAACAAATGTTAAAACCAAACAATCGAAAGCAAAAATAAATATTGATACTAACTAATTCTGTAAAAAACTTAAAATAATTAGAATTCACATAACCTTTTATTAATGCACTTGGCAATAATAAAATAATCCAGACACTGTTAAAAACAAGATGGGCATATTTGGGCCAAGGGTTTACATGTATGAGCTCATTTGAGCCGCTTTTAGGGCTTCCATATTGCAATATGAGCACATTTGGGCCGATTTTATTTTTTGTGAGACGCTCTTTGTTAGGATATAATCTTGTCAATATGGACCGTTGCATCATTATTGCTTCTGTTACAAAGTCCGAGTCTTTAGGGTTAGATTTCAAAGAGAGAATATGGGGATAAGCACGATGGCACGTGTGATTATGTTGCCTTGTTTTTCGTTTTGGTTGTTTTGTCTCTATTGTTGTTGTATTTAAAGGGTAAGTGTGGCATTGATAATTAAATGGAGTTTTTCTTTGACAGATTCACATGTCATTTCCTTTGTGTCTCAAGTTTAGAAACAGAAGTATTTTAGTTTGGTTTCGGGAGTTTGGTTTCTACATGTGGTATCAGAGCGCGGTTCGATCTAGGGAGTAATAGACAATATGGCTGTAGAGGGGGTGAAGGACGGAGAGGATGATGAAGACGATGACGATGAAGAAGAATACGGAGCTGACGGCGAAGATGGGTGTGAAATAAAAGACGATGACGGTTCTCGTTGTGTAGAACAAAATGATGCAAGAACAAAAGGAAAGAAGAAGAAGATGGAGCAAGAAGAGCTTCGGAAAAAGAGATGGAGTAGAAAAAACTCCGGAAAGAAGAAGTTGGAGCAGGAAAAGCTCCGGAAGGAAAAAGGAATGGAGCAAGAAAAGCCCCATAAAGAAGAAGAGATCCATGAAAGGATTTCGTGTGAAAGCCAAGGAAAGGCTTAGAGTATGACAACCAATGAGAGAACGGTTGCGAGAGGGAAGTGTCACCCTCTGGATGTGGAATCAAAAGGGTTTGTAGACCCTCGTAATGACGTCATGGTATTTGACGTCGGTTATCAAGGTACGAGTGAAAATACCTTGTGGTGGAAAAGTGTCTCCAAAGGAAACATGAGATATCTTGAGAACGTTGAACCTTAATATTTCGGGAACGAAGGAGGTTCGGACTTAAAACTCTACGTTGAGAGTTTGAGAGAAAGAAAAATGAAAAGGAAGAGCAAGATGTTGCTGATCATAGAAGCCGCCGATGAACTCGAATGAAGAAAACGGAACGACAAGATTAAGGGGGAGAATGTTAGGATATAATCTTGTCAATATGGACCGTTGCATCATTATTGCTTCTGTTACAAAGTCCGAGTCTTTAGGGTTAGATTTCAAAGAGAGAATATGGGGATAAGCACGATGGCACGTGTGATTATGTTGCCTTGTTTTTCGTTTTGGTTGTTTTGTCTCTATTGTTGTTGTATTTAAAGGGTAAGTGTGGCATTGATAATTAAATGGAGTTTTTCTTTGACAGATTCACATGTCATTTCCTTTGTGTCTCAAGTTTAGAAACAGAAGTATTTTAGTTTGGTTTCGGGAGTTTGGTTTCTACACTCTTCTTCTGCTTTGTTTTGAAATGCCATCGACAAAATATGAACTAAATTACAAAAAAAAAAATCCCTAGTCATAAGGGCTGGGTATTTAAACGTTATCTGCGGGTATGCGGATACCCGATCTCGTAGATACCCGAAAAAATGATACTCGATACCTAACGAAGACGAAAAACGAGTATTAAAAAGTGGAATACCAGTTATACGGGTTCGGGTTCGGGTTTTATATATTGAAATAACGGATACCCGAAAATATCCGTGTATTTATTAAAATTACAAAATTACCTTTATATTCTTAATATAATTATCAAAATACTTAGGTTATTTCTCCTTTCTTTGAGATTATATATTGGATTTTTAAGTTTTGGTGAATTCAAATTCAAATCATTTTGTATTTTTGAAAATTTTTCTAGGATTCTATACATATTTTTATATTTTAAGAATTTTCAAACATATAAATGTGTTTATATTTCTGGACTAAAATATATATATTTTTGTTGATTATTTGGTTTAATTTTATATTGCTTAATGTTTTATATATGAGTACAGGTATTCTTAGGTACCTGTCTTTTAGCTATGGTATGGGTACCCGTCCAACCGGTACCCAGATCTTGTGAGATAGATATAATATTTCTCTAAAACCCGCGAAGACGAAAACGAAGACGGATATCTCTAAAAATATGGGTACCCGACCCGTGCTCAACGCTAAGTCATAGAAGGGTTTGTGCTCAACGCTAAGTCATAGAAGGGTTTTTTTTAGTAATGGATGGATATTCAAAATCATTCTATTCTGGATTCAAGACAAGTGTTATAAAAACTTCTTATAACATGAACCATCAGCAATGGAACATAAAACATGAACATGAACTTAAATGTCTCAGAGATCGAGATTCTGAGAAGTGTCTCTCTGATTACACAACAGAACTGGTCAGGTAGTTCCTTGGCCTCCGGAGCAGAGGTTTGTCTGAGCAACCCCTGTCGAATTATGACCATTGCTTTCTTGAAAACGCAAGACAAATACTTGAGCTGCAACACTTCCAAACCAATTTCCCGAAATTTCGCCTCCTCTTCGAAAAGGTGCAGCAAGGTTTCGATCTTTTCGGCATATCTCGACATCTTCCTTACAATTCAGCTCACAGATTGCACACGCACATTCACATTTAGAGCTCCATAACGATGAAATGAATCAATCATCTGCAATATCAGAGCTGTTTCTGACCTGCTTTTCGTAGAAATCACTCAATTGTGATCCCATCCTCAATCCTCTCATGCCCATTTCCTTCAAAACCATCTTCGCCTCCTCAAACCTCTTCCTCTTTATAAGCTTACTCGCCAAACCTCCCATGCTCTCTGTATCCAATCTCTCGTCTTTCCCAACGTACGCCATCACGAACTTCACCGCCTGCGCATAATAGCCCCTGCTCACCATCTCCGCGATAACGTGCGCATGCGTGGCGTATAATATCGCGACCCCATCGTCTTCCATCCTCCTCAGTATCACCATCGCAGCCTCCACTTTCCCTGCCCTGCACGCGCCCAACACAAGCGCGTCGTATGTACGCGTGTCCGGAGACAGACCTTCCTCCTCCATCTTCCTCATCACCTTGCTCGCGTTCACAACGTCTCCGTCGTAGCATAACGAGGTCAGGAAGTAGTTGTACGCCGTCACGTCGGGAGGCAACGCGTGCGATCTCATCAGATCCACCACGCGCCATGCCTCTTCGATCTTGTCCTTCTTCGTGAGCACGCTAAGGATCGGGTAGAAAGTGGAGGTCGTCGCGCCGAATCCGCCGCTGGTCATGTCATCGACCACGATCAGAGCGTCTTCGATCCGGCCGAGTCTGCAGAGACGCGCGACGGGGCGGAGGAGTAGGAAGCGGTGTTGGCGAGGAACTTGAAGGTGTCTTTGGTGTTGAAGCAAGCGTCAGTGATACGCTTGTTCAGGAGGCGTCGGACGGCGTCGAAGTCGCCGGAGCTTCCGGCTGCGTAGACGAGGTTGTCGTAGTGGGTGGTGGTCGGACGACGACGAGGAGTATCGATATCAGATTTTCCGGCGGAGAAAGAGCGAACCGATACGGATTGAGGGATGAATATGGAATTGGTCGGTTGTTTCAGGAGTTTCCGGAGAAGAGACATCGTCGAGATTTCAGCGTTTTCGCGGCGATGGTAATCGGAAAAGCGGTTTTATTTTTCTGTTCCTTATTTAGGGTTTTAGAAGAAGATGAAGACAATTCGTAATTGTGTATTTTATAAATCAAGCCCACAGTATGATGGGCTTCACAGTGGATATTAGGCCCATGAACTTGAAAATAACTCAAGCACAAAAATAAAACCTGAATTACCCCAAAATCAATCTATTTGGTTTCTGGAAATTTAATAAAAAAGAGCATATGAACAGACGAACAGTTTTTGGATTTATAAAACCTTAGGTGTAAAATTTAAAATCACATAAATATGGTCGACAATCGATAAATTGTATGAATTTTTAAAACTTTGTACGGCCATCGGGCCACGTACCAAGGGAATACCGCACAGGTCTCGCCGTAATTTCAAAATATAAGTAACATAATTTAATTTTATTATGAAATTATTTTTTTATGAGATGTGATTGTTATATTTCTATCGTAGTCTCACGGACAATACATATGTAATAATTCGCTTTACAACAAGATCAAAAGACAAGGATTCCCATGATAACGGACAAAAGACTAAAGAAACGATAGCTAGTTAAAGCGATACCACAATTGAATGGGTTCGTTGATTACTCTTTCTCCCGGTTTGTGCAAGGAGATTAAGATGTTCCTCATCGCTTTATCAATTCTGACCAGCATCGCTGTAAGAGACATACAGTGTTCCGATGCGTTCTTCCATTCCTTTCTTTTCAAAGCTCATACACTATTGGTTGGTTCAGCCATTGCAAACAATTCACCGGGTCCGTGACGGATATTTGATGACAGCCTCTAAATTTACCTGCATAATGAGACGAAATCGCAGCACTGTATTCACAAAGGAAGAACAAGTGAGCATGGTTTTCGGCCTCTTTATAACAGAGTGCATCTATTCGGGGTTTGAATTCCCCAACGAGTGAGTCGGTCCATCGTAGACAGCCGCTGTTGCAGGGCCTGCCATATCACGAAGGAGTGTCTCGGTATTGCGCCACTGAACCAAACAAGGGGGTACCAAGTAACCTCTGGTGCGGATGCCCGTACTTGTTCCCAAATTATTGAACTCCATTGTGGATTAGGTTGGGATTCGCTTAATGTTTTAGTACGCATAAGATGAACAAGAAAAGTTAGAAAATAATTTTATTATGTGGGTGGAAAAACAGTTGTTTTTCAGATCAAATTATAAGATAATATTTTCGTTCCTGTACTTTGTTTGTTCGGAAAATAAGTAGATATATATATATATATATATATATATATATATTGTAAATAATTTTTAAATATAAATTTTTTAATCCAACTAATATTTAAAATAATATGTAAATTTTATATTATATGAATTTTCAATTTTTTGTATGGAGATAAGACAATATGTAAATTCGTTGTATCACTAACAAAAATTAAAAAGATATTGTTTGGGAATAAGATTCAACTTTAAAGATTTTCTTCTTTTCCGTGATAAGACTTGGATTCATTCAAGCGTTTGTGAAGAATATTTTGGTTTTGGTAAAAAAAAAAAAAGGTAAAGAAAAGAGATAACAAGGAGGGGTTAAAAAGATATAGGAAGAAAACGCCACATCACATCAACGAGAAAAAAAAATGTTTGTTTAAAAAGATTCGTTTCTAAGCTTATCCCAATTAGGAGTTGCATAGAATTATAAAGTAAATCAAAATAAACCGAACTAAGAATAATTAATTAATTAATTAATTAATTTTTGTAGAATCCAATAAGAATTTCATATTTTGCTCTATATAATCTCATATATGTGATAGGGTTTTTTTTTTTTTTAATTTGGAAGTGTATCAAATCATGTGAATGTATTTTTGCAAAATGAGTATTTCAATCCGGGTTGGGAAAGA